GGAAGAAAGACAAAACAACTGTCAATCTCCCTAGGTCTGGTGCACCATGCAAGATCTCACCTCGTGGAGTGTCAGTGATCATGAGAACAGTGAGGAATCATCCCAGAACTACAAGTGAAGATTTTGTCAATGATCTCCAGGCAGATGGGACCACAGTCAGCAAGAAAACAATTTTTAACACACTATGCCGACGAGGTTTGAAATCCTGCAGTGCCCCCAAGGTCCCTCTACTTAAGAAAGCACATGTCCAGGTCTGTCTGAAGTTTGCCACTGAACATCTGAATGATGCAGAGGAGGATTGGTTGAAAGTGTTGTGGTCAGATGAGACCAAAATCGAGCTCTTTGGCATCAACTCAACTCGCCATGTTAGGAGGAATGCTGCCTATGACCCTAAGAACACCATCCCAACTGTCAAACATGGTGGTGGAAACATTCTGCTTTGGGGGTGTTTTTCTGCTAAGGGGACAGGACAACGTTTTTTTTTCCAAGTCTGCGGAAGTGCGAAACACGAAAAACTGGTAAGTGAACAAAAAAAAAACGTGCTAGTGCAAAACCAACACAAAAAAGTGCACTTAGGGTGTGTGCTTTGTCCATCCCCCGAAGGGGTTGGACCTCTACCCTTATCCCCCGGGCATGAAGCTCCTGACAGACTAAGGTTCCCATGTGGTCCACCTAGCCAAAAGGCCTGTCTGACCCCTTTCCTTGTGGCAAGCCTAAACCAGCCACCAAGTACTTGGTAAGGGGGCTCTCCTGAAGAGAAGCCACCCTAGGGACAGGGGAGGAAGGAACCAAAAGGCCACACATCCTCCCCCCCTAGACTTCAGGTTTAGGCCCGAGGACCCACACCCTACAATCCGTGAGGAAAAAAAAACACACACATAAGTGAAAAGTGACAAAACGTGGGAGAAAATAAATAAGTAAAAATAAAAAAGTGGCTGTGCAATTGTGCACTGGCCAGGCCCTGAGGCCCGTAGCATAAAAATTTCCCTGGACTTAGCCAAAAGGCCTAGCCCTAAAAGGCGCAGTGCAGAAAAAGTGTTTAGAACTGTGACCATGTGCACGTTTCACACTTGGGATCCCACCCCCATGTGTTACTAGGAGCACCCCTGAGGCGACCACTCTCAGAGGGCACAGTTCTGCGGACTTTCTGCCTCCCCAGCCCCTGGCCAGACAAGGTAGATCTGTTCAAACCAGGAGGCCCCTCTGGTTTTCCAGGGGGAATTGCTCCCAGGCCCCAACAACCTGTGGGTGCCTCGGTTTCTGTTCCAGCCTGTACTAACCATCAGGACCCCCATCCTACCAGCAGGGGTACTATACAACCAATCATCCCCGCAAGCAGGAATGATGGTGGAGCACCCCTACTGGACACGGATAAGAACAGATACTACAAGACAACTGCACCGCATCAAAGGGACGATGGATGGGGCAATGTACCTTCAAATCTTGGGTGAGAACCTTCTTCCCTCAGCCAGGGCATTGAAAATGGGTCGTGGATGGTGTTCCAGCATGACAATGACCCAAAATACACGGCCAAGGCAACAAAGGAGTGTCTCAAGAAGAAGCACATTAAGGTCCTGGAGTGGCCTAGCCGATTGAAAATCTGTGGAGGGAGCTGAAAGTTTGAGTTGCTAAACGTCAGCCACCAAACCTTAATGACTTGATCTGCCAAGAGGAGTGGGCCAAAAATCCCTCCTGAGATGTGTGCAAACCTGGTGGCCAACTACAGAAAATGTTTGACCTCTGATTGCCAACAAGGGATTTTTCACCAAGTACTAAGTCATGTTTTGTGAAGGGGATCAAATACTTGTTTCCCTCATGAACATGCAAATCAGTGCATCATTTGATAGACATGCATTTCTTTTGAATTTTTTGTTGCTATTCTGTCTCTGTGTTACAATACACCGAACATTCGATTTTTAGACTGATCATTTCTTTGTGAGTGGGCAAACATTCAAAATCAAAAGGGGAACAAATACTTATTTCCTTCACTGTATGTAACCCTTTAATCATGAAACCCTAATAATATATAACCCATGTTCTCCATAACTCTAAGCCTACTTTATAAATGTTAGGGCTGCACCAGTACCGATACTGAGTACTTGCATGAGTACTCATACTCTTGCAAATGCTACAGATACCTAAAATCGATACCTTTGCGGTGCGATTTGAGTCCATACAAAATTAATAGGCTCAAATCACACTGCAAAGAATCTCATGCAATTTGAACAGGAATGCAGTGCAATTCCTGTCCGAATGGCATGTGTTTTCCCCCACCGCTCCTGTGTGATCCCAGTATAGAAAGACATCTAAGAAGTGCAGCAATGGGCAAACAGTTGATTCGTGCTAGAACAACTCGCATGTTAAAAGTACATAATATACAGTAACTTGCATGTCAAATCCAAACCCACAGACACTTGCAGTGCTCCCAGGGCTGGAGGAGATGTAGGAAGTTCTGAGCCCCCTGTGGGTATAGGGCGGAAGTGGTGTCAGCTTGGGGGCAGACTGCCTATACATCTCCTCCAGCGCTGTGACCTCCGTAAGCAGCCGTGGTTTTAGACTTGACATGTAAGGTATATTATGTCATTTTAACATGTGAGTTGTTACATTAATAAACTGTTTGCTCATTGCTGCACTTCTTAGATATCTTTCTACAATGGGATCACACAAGAGTGGTGGGGGAAACCACATGGGATTTGGACAGGAATCAGTCTGCATTCCTGTTCACATCGAATGCAGTTCTTTGCAGTGCGATTTAAGCCCATTCATTTGATATCAATTTCAGGAATCTTTAGCATTTGCATGACTATGAGTACTCGTGCGAGTGCTTAAGCAAGTACTCTGTATTGGTGCAACTCTAAAGTTTATAAAGTAGGTTTAGGGTTACAGAGAACTTGGGTTATATATTAGGGTTTTATGGTAAAAGGGTTACATAGTGTTGGGGTTTGGGTTAGGAAGAAGGGTCAGCCACACACCGGAGGATAGATGACCTGTTACCGCGTTTCACACGTTATGAATAAGCACGAGATCGTGTGAAACGCGTTAACAGGTCCTGTATTCATGTCCTGGTGTTTTGTGTGTCCTATGAATTAATAAATACACACTATATTCATCTATCCTCTGGTGTGCGGCTGAACCTTCTTCAACTTGCATTGTGTGTGGTGGCGAGCCAGAGCCTGCACCTGTTGTGGATTGATCTGGATTGTTTGCCTGAGCGGCATGCCTTTGTTCTCGGGGTTTGGGTTAGATTGCCTTAAGTTTGCCGAGTATTAGGGTCATTTACATTGTATTGTCTTAGGATTATATACTATTGGGGTTTTATAATTGAAGGTTTAGAGTTATAGAATATTAAGTTTGGATATTGATAGGATTACATTGTTTAGTGGTTATATAGTGTTATATTTGTAGAGTATTAGGGTCACAAGTGTTACAGAGTATCAGGAATATATAGTATTTGGTTCATATGGTGTTGTAATTCTTGTCTGTTACTTGAGGATTAAAGTGATTCTAAAGGTTGTAGTTTAAAAAAAAAAAACATTTTATATCTATTGCTCTGTGTAATGGCTTTGCACAGAGCCACCCCGATCCTCTTCCTTTTGGGTCCCCCGATGGTGGTCCTGGCTCCTTTCCTAGCCAAGTGTCCTCAATAGCAAGCCAGTTGCTGTGGGAGCAATCGAGCAGGCTCAATCCCGAGTCATGCTCCTGCAAATAGACATTGTCCATTCACACAGACAGTGCAACTCAGCCCCCTCCCCACTCTTTCCTCATTGATTCACTGGCTGTGATTGACTCACTGGCTGTGATTGACTCACTGGCTGTGATTGACTCACTGGCTGTGATTGACTCACTGGCTGTGATTGACTCACTGGCTGTGATTGACTCACTGGCTGTGATTGACTCACTGGCTGTGATTGACTCACTGACTGTGATTGACACATAATGTACAAGAAGTGGTAAAAAGCGCCTTAGTAAAAATCAACAAGCTGCTACGCACAAGATAGGTACCAAATGACCTCTGGAAAAGACAATATATGTGAAAGGTGCAACGCTTGTAAACAATATGTATACAAAAGTCCTTGGTGGATCAAATAATAAAGGATATGGGGTAGTCCCGCAAATACAGGTGAGTATAAATAGTTGAGGTGACTTTGATATCCGTGTAGAGGTGGTAATGAAATGCGCACTCACCGGACGCGCATATTAAATGCGCCTTGTGTATAATTATCCTGCTGCCAGGTGATGGGTGGTCTTCCCTCTATCGGATCCTAGGTAAGTTGTCCTTTTCTTCAAAAAGGTCCCCCTATATGGTCCTAATGGATGTTGTCACTCCGAATGGCCTGGGTGGTAAGTAGTAATCCGTTCTTGGAGTAGGTCTGTGGGCTTTCCTAGCCAAGTGTCCTCAATAGCAAGCCAGTTGCTGTGGGAGCAATCGAGCAGGCTCAATCCCGAGTCACGCTCCTGCAAATGGACATTGTCCATTCACACAGAAAGTGCAACTCAGCCCCCTCCCCACTCTTTCCTCATTGATTCACTAGCTGTGATTGACTCACTGACTGTGATTGACACATGGCTGTGATTGATACATGACTGTGTGAGTCAATGAGGAGAGAGAGACTGGGGAGAGCCATGGCTCTCATGCACATCACTGAATCGAGATGGGGCTCCGGTAAGTATAATGGCAGCTGCACTCAGGTTTTTTACCCTGATACATAGAATGCATGAAGGTAAAAAAATCTTCAGCCTTTATAACCATTTTAAGCTAAAGGGGTAGGATTGTCAGATCGCTTTACAATCACCAGTAATTTCTCTTCTGAATGGTAGAGAATATTTACAGCCACCCACCAACACATTTCACCCCTTCAACTTCTAGATTTGTTCCTAATTTTATGAAGATGGCCGGTTTCTGTAACATTCTCCAAATCTGTATATGTTACATTATTCCTATAGATTAACCTGTTCAGATTCACCTTAATAAATAATTGTGACTCTTTTCTTCTGTACAGGTGAGAGTGGGGGTCATTCAGTACAGCGCCACACCACAGCTAGAATTCCGCCTTGATTCCTTCATTACTAAGGAAGACCTTCAGGAGAAGATGAAGGCCATTGTCCTCAAGTACGTCCTGTACAGTGTTGTTTTTATAATAATTCAGACTCTTCTGAAATAACAGATGGCGAATTCCTCATTTTGTCAGATTTTCTGTGGTAACTAAAGGACAGTCAATTAAAAGTGGTTGTAAACCTTAGACATGAAATATGAACAAAGCATATCCTACTTTATTGTGCTTGTCTCGATCCAGAGCACTAAGTGTAATTTCTGCCCACTGCCTCTTTTCTCTGCTATAAACACAAGTCACTTTTGACAAGTTGTCCTGACACCAAGAGAAAAATGGTGACAGGATAGGGAGCTCCAGCTGATAGACAGCCTCATCTCTGTTCCTGTGAGCTGTGTGAAGGGGGGGTTGTCGATTCCCTCCAATTAGCTTTCAGAGCTCTCCTCACTGATGTAACTTCGGCTCTCCGCCTCCTGTTTTTTGGAGCTGAAAGATCTGGTGTAAATTTAGCATTTTGAAGGGACGTAGAGGAAAAACGGCTGTTATAAACAGGCACAACTTATGTAGGAGGATTTGTTTCATATTTGTGTATCACCTAAGGCCAGCCACTTCAGTGGGTATATGTCAGGGTTTACAACCACTTTAAATAAGCAGTAGGTTTATGTAAATCATTTTTTAAACTTGTAAAGTTTTGAAGAATTGGTTTGAAGTAAATATATACAAATTTTGAAGAACTGGTTAGAAGTAAATATATCTGAAATTAAGGTGGCATAATAGGGGTTGGGGGATGGGGGGTGCTCCCATTGTTTTAAAACTTTAATAAACTCATCTGGGGGTACAGTAAGACCCCACAGTTGCAGGTGAGCAGCCTATAGGACCGTGAAGCACCAATTGCATTACAACACATCTCCATAAGGTTCAGTTCTCCTACATCACAAAGACTTCAAAGACCAGGGGGTGCTTGTCACTTGATGCCTCATTCAGTGATTATTCTCTCCTATATCTAGTATTACAGATGAGTTCCATCCATTATACTTTCTCTTACTGATTTCCCTCTGTCTCTCCTCCTTGTCTCTCTTTCTCTGTTCTCCTTGTCTCCCCTTCCTAGAGGAGGCAGCACAGAAACTGGCCTGGCTCTGAAGTACATTCTACGTAAAGGCTTTCCTGGAGGACGTGACTCTTCTGTACCAAAAGTTCTCATTATCTTATCGGATGGCAAGTCTCAGGGCAATCTTGGTGGTCCAGTAGCTCAGATAAAAGAGAGCGGAATTGAGGTGTTTGCTATTGGAGTCAGGTTTCCAAGGTGAAAATGTTACAAATGTATCAAAAATTTTGTTCTTGTGTTGTCATTTTGTATATTTGTTATGTAGGTTTTTCACCTATACATGATGAGGGGCTCCATGATTTGTATCTGTTATGGAGGAAACAAACTTCTTGTTTTCCCAGATCTCAAGTGCTGTTCTGGTTCCTACAGGATGGAGTACAGCTTCAATGCAAGGTTAACATTTTACCCGTTAAGCAGACATAGAGGTGGGAAGTCCTAGGAACAAAATGGATAAAGTGGGGAAAAAAAGCTGTTTTTATTTTTTTTTTCTGAAAAAATTTAAAAAAAAAGAGTGGAATATGTTCTTTTATGATAATAAATAATTATCTATGATATTGATATTCAAACTGTATACCATGAAGGCCTTAATGAAAGATTTCTGAACGTTATGTAAAGTCTTAAAATATTGCACGTTCTCTGAGCTGAAGACAAGCAAATCCTGGAATACAATTCTAGTAACACTGTAGTTCTCAATGCAGTTCTCAGACAAGAGAAAATGCATTTCTGGCACTAGGGGGGGCACTGCAGGGGATAATCCAGTTTAGTTTTGCTTATGGGCTCCATCCTGTACCTCCTACAATTGGGTGATACAGTAGATCCTCTCAAACCTTCATTGGCAGGTTAGATAAATAGTGACAAATTAGTTTATCTTTTTAACCTGAAAGATTTCTCCACCATCACAGCATAGTGCTTATCTATAAGTCATTAACGCTAGGTTAAAACCCAAAGCGTTTTCCAATCACAGCGTTTTGCAGAAACGCACTACAGTCCATTTAACATGCTTTCCTTTGGGACACGTTCACATCTCCGCGTTTTCACCCGGTGCGTTTTTTGGAAAGGGTCAGGGACTTTTTTGAACGCAAAAAGCTGCGTTTTTGGTTCTATAGACTTCAATGGAAATGCTGCAGAAAAGCATGTAGTGCGTTTTTGATGCGTACTGTTTTAAATCTGCCTAGCAACAAGAGAAAATAAAATGAGGCAAAAACGCAACGCAGATTTTTGTTTTTTTCCTCTCAGTAAAATGGTGAGACTAACATCTAGAGTTTGGTAAATTACAAGTCTTGTGAGAGTAAATATTCTTTTCCAAATACTGGCAGGAAGCTTTTAAATTATGAGTAAAAGAGGGGTGGTTACTTGTTCTCATGTATAGTTGAAATGTTCTTAACATACACAGTCCTTGTTACGCCATTTGTAAAAAAAAATAAGATTTTTAAAAGCTTAGTTTACTGAGTAAACTGTACTTTTATCTCAAACATAATACCGTATTTGCCGGCGTATAAGACAACTGGGCGTATAAGACGACCCCCTACTTTTCCTGTTAAAATATAGGGTTTGGGCTATACTCGCCGTATAAGACTACCCCTCTTCCAACGCACACCAAAAATTAAAAAACATCAGATTTGATTTCAATATGGTATGGTATTCCAATGATGGGGCACGCTTTCTCACTCTGACACCAATGATGGGGCACTATTCCTCCCACTTACACCAATGATGGGGCACTATTCCTCCCATTGACACCAATGATGGTGCCCCATCATTAGTGTCAGTGTGTGAGGAATAGTGTCCCATCATTAGTGTCAGTGGGAGGAATCGTGCCCCATCATTGGTGTCAGAGTGAGAAAGCGTGCCCCATCATTGGTGTCAGTGGCAGGAATAGCACCCCATCATTGGTGTCCGTGGGAGGAATAGCGCCCCATCATTGGTGTCAGTGGGAGGAATAGTGCCCCATCATTGGTGTCAGTGGGAGGAATAGCGCCCCATCAGTGGTGTCAGTGGGAGGAATAGCGCCCCATCATTGGTGTCAGTGGGAGGAATAGCGCCCCATCATTGGTGTCAGTGGGAGGAATAGCGCCCCATCATTGGTGTCAGTGGGAGGAATAGCGCCCCATCATTGGTGTCAGTGGGAGGAATAGCGCCCCATCATTGGTGTCAGTGGGAGGAATAGCGCCCCATCATTGGTGTCAGTGGGGTAATAGTGCCCCATCATTGGTGTCAGTGGGGGGAGGAATAGTGCCCCATCATTGGTGTCAGTGGGGGGAGGAATAGTGCCCCATCGTTGGTGTCAGTGGGGGGAGGAATAGTGCCCCATCAGTGCCCCATCGTTGGTGTCAGTGGGGGGAGGAATAGTGCCCCATCATTGGTGTCAGTGGGGGAATAGTGCCCCATCATTGGTGTCAGTGGGGGGAGGAATAGTGCCCCATCATTGGTGTCAGTGGGAGGAATAGTGCCCCATCATTGGTGTCAGTGGGGGGAGGAATAGTGCCCCATCATTGGTGTCAGTGGGAGGAATAATGCCCCATCATTAGTATCAGTGACACCAATGATGGGGCACTATTCCTCCCACTGACACCAATGACACTTGCTGACTCCTGTTCTAGTATGGTACTGCTGCAGCCAGCATATGTGGTTGCAGCAGCACCTCTGCACTGCACACTTACCCTCACTCGATTTTTGCGGGTCAGCTCAGGCTCCGCCTCCTCACCCGTGATTGGTCGCCTGTGTGCCTTTCCTGAGCTACAGTTCTGGCGGCCAATCACCGGTGTGAGGAGGCGGAGCCGAGCGGCAGGAGTGAGGGAGTGACTGAAGGAGCAGCGCTTCCTGGATGGATCGTCGTGGGAGCCAGGTAAGAGAATGCAGCCCTCTGCCCACTCCTGTACTTGGTGTCCGTTCCGTCGGAAGGGAGGGACGGCGGCAGCACCGCGCCGCCCCCCCCCTAAAAAAAGTGCCCCCTGACATATACTGGCGTATAAGACGACCCCCGACTTTTGAGAAGATTTTCAAGGGTCAAAAAGTCATCTTATACGCCGGAAAATACAGTACTTTTATATAAACTGCATTTTACCTTCCCAGTGTAACAAAATGACTTTCAATTTGTAAAACTACTCCAGACTGAATTTTTTTTTAAATGTTTCCAAAATTTCCATTTTTTTTCCCGGGAAAAACCTTCCTGGCGGTATTCCCGAGTGTAGCTCGGGGTAAAGTTTCAGCACCACAAGCGGTAACCCCGAGCTACACTCGGGCCTACCATGCAGCGTTGCTCCGGGATCTCTTCTGCACTTACCTTGTCCTTCGCTCCCCCGCTATGTCCCCCCCACAGCATCCCTGGCCATCTCCTCCGGCCGATGCCGGCATCTGTCATCTGGGTTCCATTCCCTGCGACGTCGGGACGTACGGGGGACGGAAAGGCGGGAAATTTAAAAATGTCAAAAAGTGACATTCACTAAATTCACTAAAATCACATAGTATAACATTACTGTATCAAACCATTTCACATACATTTTGTCCCGAGTGCTTTGTCCTGCGCCCTGCCTGCATTTTTACTGTTCTTTCTGCCTGGAAACTGAGAACGTCCATGGCGCCCAAAAAGCGTCCCTTTAGGTCAAAAGCGGTTTTAGACCGGCTAGAGAACAGCGATAGTAAATCAGAACCACTTGCAGAATTGAGTGATAATGATTCGTGAGGGAAATTCATCATCAGACACTGAAAACGATTTTGCGACTTTGCTCAGTGATGTGCGAACTTGGCGCTATATATCAAATTTCAGTGTTTTTGGTTTGATAACATTATTGAATTAAATTTATTATTATTATATTATTATTTTTTATGATTATTTATTAAATTATAATTTATGATTTTGTGTTTCAAATTTTAACATACCCGGGATGTTTACTAGACTCTTGTCCGGACAGATTTCAGTGAGTTATTCCTAAAATATTACAGCCTACAATAAAAAAAAAGATATTTCCATGCAAAAAAATTTACCGCTTTGAGCACAGAAATACTGACATAATCATACCGCTTCAAAATTTCTGGAAATTCTACATCTCAAGCCAGACCTAGTTATTAGTTTCAACTGTCCACAGGCCTTTTTATATGTAACATAAACTCAGCTTGGATTTTCAATGAACCACTTTGTGTGAGCAGTATTGCACCTGTCATACTGCTTTTTTTATGTTAAGTATTTTGTGTTTATAAATCCACACTTATTATAAGTGAGACGGAGATATGAACATGACACAGGTATACGTGTCATGTTAGGTGGCTTCTTCCTTTTTGTTTGCTTTTTATATGTAAACTGGCTGGTGCTCAGGGCTCTCTTCCTATTGCTGGCTCTGCTGTTTGAGCCTTCTGCTGTGTGAAACGCTGCATGCTGACAAAACACTAAAAAAGTACATGAGCTGTTTGTTTTGTGGAACCCATTAAGGGGCACCCTTGTCTGTGTTATAGTCTCTGTACAAAGCTCTCCATAATTGAACTGTGTTTGCTGCCTTGCTGAACGAAAGTGCAGGACAAATTTCCTTTGACTGTTCCTGGGTGTTCTTCTTGTGCATAGTTTACTGCTGCCACTACCAGATGAGCTTGCCCCCCTTATTAATGCTGATTGTTAGAATTGGTCCTATGTTTTCCCCAACAGATGGGCAGAACTTCATTCTCTAGCAAGTGAGGCGATGGAAGAACATGTATTCTTTGCTGAACATGTGGATGATGCTGTGAACGGCTTGTGCAGCGCTCTAAGCAATTCATCGGCATGCAGTGCCATTCCAGCAGGTAAATTCCTCGTCAGAATTCTATGCCGGATATCCATGAATTGCCTGAACTCAGAATTGGACCTAATTATGAAAACCACTATGGGGAAAGATGACCTGTGGAATTTGGAAAATGTTGACAACACTGCTTTTTAGTTAGTCTGTAGATCTTAATGAGCCCTGTATACATGGGCATAATATTGGGTGGTTCAACAGAAACTGGCCGACATTTGGTCCGTGTGTACACCAGCCTTTATGACAAAAGACGGCCGAATGGGCATGCTGGAAAACCGGCATCCGATCGGTGCTGTCAGTCAATGTCTGTAGATGGAAATCTGGAATATCAGGTTTTATTTTTAGGGTTAAAGCCAAGTAAAAACACTACATTGTAAGAAACAGTGCTTTAGTCCACATTAATCACGGATTTAAAAAAAATAGACATTTACAGCTAACCTTTTCCAGAATGCGTTTTTCTGCCAGGTAAGGGGTCCATATCCACTGAGAGATGGAGAAGCATATCAGGGACTCCATGGTGAGACAGATGTCTTGGTGGAGCACTAGGAGCAATTACATGACACGAATGAACTTGGTGTCACGGGCAGGGGCGCATTTACCACAAGGCAAACCAGGCACTTGCCTAGGATGGAATTTTTCAGGGGGGCAGCACCTCCCCCCCCCCCCCCCCCCCCAGATGAAAGGATGAAAGAAGGGACACACGCCATAGGTACCAGGTGGGATCCGAGAGGAGCTGCTTCATGGTGTATGTATGTAGAGCCTGATTCTCGTTCCTGGGGATGTCCAGAGTTGTGAAGATGAGTGTCTTTCTCTCTATCGCCGGGGGGGTAGTGGAAGGCTTGCCCAGGTGGGGGGCAGGGGTGTTGTTGGTCAACGTCAGGCTCTGTCCGCGGGAGGGAAGAAGGGGGGAGTGTCTGTCGGTGTCCGTGAGGGCAGATGATTTTTGTGTTGCCTAGGGCAGCACAAAACCTAAATACACCCCTGGTCACAAGGTGCACTAGAAGTCAAGGGGATAACGTGGACTAGAAGTGCACTTGACATGTCCTAGCATGAGGTTTTGGCTCTTAGAACAGCCCAGCCAAAATCATTGTCCCCCAACTGCACTTCATTTAGGAGATACTTTAGATCTCATCCCGGTCTTTTTAGGTTTTTGTTGCTGTCTGTGTTCCCTCTGAGGAGATTCCCTCTCTCTGTTTTCTTAATCACAGTGGTCACTGGGATTATAATAGGGGAAACAAAACTAATTTTTGAACTATTACCAGAATAGAAGTAGACGGGAAATCTTCTAGAAAGGACATCTGTTCCAACAAAAACTTCCATTTGGAGAGATCTCCTCTCATTTCCTGTTGTGTCTCAAGATAGGAAGTAAAGGTAAATCTTTTCAAAAAGACAGACCAGAGAGCAGCAGTAATCGGTCTTTATTACAGGAAACAACTGACACTGGATGCACAGATCTGGAAAAGAAATACACAAAGCACACAAGATTCACATGCCTTTTGTATTTAGACAATATTTGTTCATCCCTGAGTTCAGTTTTAACATTTTGGTTCTTCTGGTTTGTGATGTTCCTCAGGGTGCAGTGTGCAATCTTACTCATGTGAGCGGCGAACTCTGGAGACGGTGAAAGAACTTGCTGGGAACTACATGTGCTGGAAAGGCTCGGCTGCGCCAAGCCGTGTGTTTGCTGGACACTGTCCCTTCTACAGGTTTGTCTCTTTCTTATTGTTTTCATTCACAGACTAGAGATTCCACTTCTGTAAAACTGGCTTGGGTTTTATGTGGTAGAAACCAGAGCAGGTAGATCTGCACCCAATAAGTACCCATAAACTGGACTCAGTTTCAGCTGACCCCTGCCATGGTTTCAATAGTTGTTGGGCATGATAAACCGATATCGGTGACACAGAGTGAGAAATTGCAACTGGAAAATTATGTGCAAAATTGTCACAAATGGCGCCAAATTATTTTCCTGCATTGACCATTGTTTTAACATAGGGATCAGCTCAGGCTTGCTCAGATTTGAGTCTGAACCTGCCTGAGTTCTCCTGGGAAGTTGTGAAAGCTGACAGCCAGTTATAGGTGGCATAGGCATTCCTTGCCCTACAGCCCCATATATGCAAGGGGCGTGCTGTGGGGTGGGGAATGCCATCACCACCTATGATTGGCTGTCTGCTTTGACAGCTTCTCAGTGGGAGAACTGAGGCAGGTCCAGACTCCTGTCCAAAGCCACCCGAGATCATCAATGTTTTATAAGGTTAACTAAAGTGAAGTTCTGAATGAAACATGGCAACAGGACAGCGAGACAGACCATCAAAGGTGGAGTAATGACAGGCCAGTTATACAGATTATCAGATGTGGTAACATGACAGGACAGAGAGACAGACCATGAAACTGGAAGGGTTTGTTCACCTTTACCAAAAAATGGCCTATGCAGATAAGGAGTCTCTATAGATAAAAACAAACTCTGCAGCTCAGACTAAAGTTGAATAACGCCCTTGCTATAGGTGTGGACAGGGCGTATTTACCACAAGGCAAACAAGACACTTGTCTAGGGCGGCATTTTTTTTAGGGGGGCAGCATCTCCCCTCAGAAGAAGGAATGAAAGAAGGGACACCCACACCATGGGAATCAGGTGAGATCCCAGAGAGGTTGTGGGCTGCTTCTTGATGTATGTAGAGCCTGACTCTCGTACCCGGGGATGTCCGGAGTTGTGAAGATGAGCGTCTATCGCCGGGGGGGTTAGTGGAAGGCTGGGGGGCAGGGGTGTTGTTGGTCAATGTCAGGCTCTCTCTGCAGGAGGGGAAAGAGGGGGGTTGTGTTGGTCAGTGTCCGTGGGGGCAGACGGTTTTTGTGTTGCCTAAGGCAGCACAAAACCAAAATACACCACTGGGTGTGGACCATATACTTCCCAAAGCATGACTGGAATAGTCCCAGGACAGGCTAAGTGAGGCCTAGTCACTACTGAAAATCCCTGAAAACCTCTCTTTAAAGAAAGCTATCCTGCTTCACCTAGTAAACTGCCATTTATTTCCTCCATCAGCTCATCCCCCCACAGCTATTACCTTTTGTATCACTCAACCCTTCCTCCTTGATTGTCAGCTCCCAGGAGCCGGGCCCTCTGTTTCCTCTAGTACCAAATTGTATTGTAACTGTAATGTCTACCTTCATTTTGTAAAGCGCTGAGCAAACTGTTGGCGCTATATAAATCCTGTATTATAATAATTCTGCTCACCTCCACCATCACAGGACTGAGCTCTCAGATGCAGAGCTCAGTGCTACTGTGTCGGGGAGAGCGAGAGCATGTGAGTGGGTTTGAATCAGAGAAAGCTCACTTCTGTGATGGTGGAGGTGATCAGTAACAACTAAGCATCACTATTAACATTCTGGAAGTATTCCTGTCAGGTTTTGGGAGGTATGTATATGACTGACACCTATTATTCAACTTTAGTCAACGCTGCACAGTTTGTTTTTATCTACAGATGCCCCTTAACTGCAGTTTTTTTGTAAAGGTGAACTAATCCTTTAAACTCAGGACAATTATTGTTCGTTTTCTTTAATTTCTGCATTCTATTAGCATTCAGTTCAATCCAAAAAGAAGTAAAAAATTATGCTTATTTTTATTACTATACTATTACTATACTATGTTATCAAGACAAATACAAAATAGATATTTACTAAACACACCTTCAAAATATATATATGATAGAATCATTCTTATTTAAGGCGGTAGTAAGCTGGTTTGGTGGGGGAAGGTTTTCTGCTGCAAGGGAATATTATAATGTGCTAGTGTCCATCGCGTAGTAGCACATTATCGAAGAACTACCTTAGAACAAAGCCCTCCAGTGGCGCGCTGTCACCACTGACAGGGCTTCCATCTTCACCCAGTCTTTCTTCCAGGTTCATGGGCATCAGCTGCTGATCTGTAGAATATCTTCTAAACAGTGAACATTTAGGAGATATTCATGTTACCTACTGGTAAGCTTTAGTATAAGCCTGCCTGTAGGTAAAAATAGAAAGCGAAAGTTTACTACAACTTATTATTATTATACAGGATTTATATAGCGCCAACAGTTTGCTCAGCACTTTACAATATAACGGGAGACAATACATCAACAATACAGTTCAATACAAGAGGGAAAGGAGGGTCCTGATCCTTGGAGCTTACAATTTAGGATGACTAGTAACAATGAAATGTACATATTTTACATATACTTTGTATTATACATAATTACCATATGTAACTACGTGTTCTGTACCACCTTCTTCTTGGCACACTGTCTGTATTCTGTGCATGTAATCTATATGCAATATATTTAATTATACAGTTTACAAATTGCAACATTCATGCAGCATCACACATTAGGATTTTCCCATTTTTGACACATGTCCCATTCCACAGGAACATGCATTGTGATTTATTCTTTTATATGGCACACTACTATAAATGTCACATCATGATTATATTTTAATGGCATACCACCAATAGTTTATGGGGCTCATTATGTGACCGAAGAGAGCTGTAACATTACAGAAGAAGTATTGCTTAGTACAGGGGCTGTCATGTTGAAGTGGCCACAAACGTGTCCATGTGAATATTCAGTCGATCATTCAATGTGGCTAAGCTGTACAGACCAAAGACGTTTCATTTGATCATTTTTTTTTGTAGTAAACTCTTGATTTCAACTTTGCCAAAATGATTGTCTGCAGTAGAATGTCATTGTTCATTTCTGATCGATCAAACAGATAACCACTCAGTGTGTCAAAGAACTGGTCGTAGTTCTGATCAATTCAATGATCATTTTTAATCATTTACATTTATACTGTTCATATTTTCACTCAGGCCCCTTTCACACTTGAGCATTTTCTAGTTCGAAGCTAAAAAATACTCAACAAGCAAAAATCTATTGTTTTCAATAGCTCTAGTTCACATCTGAGCGTTCTGTCACTTGTAGCAAAACACCTGTTGCTCAAAAAAGTACATGAGCTACTTATCAGGCAGAATAGAGCATGTTAGTGCTCATAGACTTTTGTTGTGCGTGTTCTGCTCAAACAGCAGCTCTCTGCCCCTTTTTCAGCAGCACTCCAAACGTCTAGTTCAGACATCACTAAATGACAGACCACGGTCTGGATCTGGACCAAGTTGCTGTCCAATCTGGACTGCCACGGTCCAGCTATTTAGGAGCCGGCTTCCCCCCTCCCCAAGCTTTGGCCACTGTCATTCTCAGCAGAGCGAAGAGAAGCGGGCTATACAGTTCTGAATGGCGGGCTGGAGCTGCAGTAGCTAAATTTGCAAGTTAACCAGCAGGTGATTGGTTGCTAGAACACAGGGTTGTCCTAGCAACCAATCATCAGCTTCTTGAGAAGAAAAGTTAAGTCTGACTGCTCCAGCTCCTGCCCGCCATTCAGAACTGTACAGCCGTCCACTCTTTGAACTGCTGGGAATGACAGCGGCCGAAGCTTGGAGAAAAAAGCCAGCTCCTGCATGCAGCTCAGAAAAGTACAGCCTCCCGCTCTCCTCTGTGTAAGTAGAAGAGTAAAGGGGCAGAGGAGATCGCTTTGATAGCATAGATGTGAAAGGGGGGGGAGAGGCCCAATCGGACATCGCTGTCGGCGGTATTGTGAAGGAAGAGACTGAGAACACTGCTATGTGTTCGTGGGGTAATGTGAAGGGGGGGGCAGAGGACACCACTGTGGGGGGTAATGTGAAGGGGGGGCAGAGGACACCACTGTGGGGGGTAATGTACAAGGGGACAGAGGACACTGCTGTGTATGTTGAGGGGTGGGGGGTTGGGTTATTTGAAGGGGGACAGAGGACACTAATGGAGGGGGGGAGGAGGTGTTGGCTAAGGTAAGGGGGGGGGGGGGGGGAGAAAGACACCACTGTAGGGGGTTTATGCAAAGGGGGGCACAGAGGACACTGTTGTGAGGGGGGTAATATGAAGGGGGGACAGAGGATACTGCTGTGGGGGAGTACTGTGAAAGGGGGACAGAGGACACTGCTTTGGGGAAAGAGGGGGAGGTGACGAGGGGGATGAGGACACCGCTGTGGGGAGTAATGTGAATGGGGGGCAGAGGACACCACTGTGGGGGGTAATGTACAGGGGGACAGAGGACACTGCTGTGTGTGTTGGGGGGTTGGGTTATTTGAAGGGGGGCAAAGGACATTAATGGAGGAGGGGGGGGGGGGGAGAGGGTTGGGTAATGTAAAGGGGAGGGGAAAGAAGACGCCGCTGTAGGTGGTTATGTAAAGGGGGCACAGAGGACACTGTTGTGAGGGGGGTAATATGAAGGGGGGACAGAGGATTCCGCTGTGTTGGGAGTACTGTGAAAGGGGGACAGAGGACACCGCTCTGGGGAAAGAGGAGGAGGTGACGAGGGGGATGAGGACACTGCTGTTAAATGGCGGGTGACACTGCTGTGAAGGGAAACTGGAATATGCCAGGGTGGGGGGCAACAGAGTATCTGATGAAAGACCGGGATTGTGATTTAAGAGGAAGGGGGCTGTGATGTGGAGGAGTCATCACCCAAACATGCGATTCAGACTTCAGCTGGAATAGAATATTACTGATCAGACCTCTGTGAATTTTCGGTACCCCCACGGCCTAGTTGCAAAACGTCTGACAAAAGCTGCAAAAACTAGCAATTCTGCTCAAAAAAAATGTTTGAAAACTTGACACTTGGCTGTGAATGTAGCCTCAGTATTTTCAGGGGATCACTAAAATGCACAACAGTACTTGTGTGCGTTGTTCAATATTTTATTCAATAATCACTTTTTTTCAGTTGCTTGTATCTAAATTGATCACAAATCAGGCACCCTTCAACCTTACATTCTTCAATCTGAATCTGGAAGCAGCTGGATAGAAAATTGTTGGCCAAACAGCATCTGCATCCAATCAGCTGCAGTGACAGTTTGGGCATTCTGATAAGTGTGATTGATGGCTGATAAAATACAATAACCAGCAGAGGAGGTGACCATGGTGAGGATGAAGAATACTAGACTCAGACAGTTTCACTAGTTGGTATTTGAAGTGTAAAGTTTGCAGGAAATATCAGAAAAAAAGGTTTCAGTGGTTGGTTGTTGCCAATATACATTATACTCACTGTGACTTTAGGGTCTTGGTGAAGGAGGACTTTTCAGATTTCCAAAATGCGTTTATCTGTCTTTTCATGATTTAAATAATTAAATTTGGACTCATTTATTGTTATGATTCTCTTCATCTTCCATAGCTTTTGCATTTTTTTCTGAAACACGCTTTAGAGGCCTTTCAATGTATGAGAGCCTTTCAAGACCAAACCATTCTTTGGATCCAGCACTTCTCACCCTCTTCCTGCAGAGCTGTAAAGTCTGGGATGATGTTGTTGGGGTGGTGGTCCATAACCAAGGCTGGAAGTTTTGTGTGTAATTTCTGTCTTTGTACCACAGCTGGAAGCGATACTTCACAAAGCATCAAGCAGAGTGCCACCGTACCACGTGTCCAGGTAATGCTCACTCTGGTAAATGTGTTTGACTTTCACTCTACATTAGCTAGTTGCTTTTTGATGCAACATTAGGGATACAGAGTTACCTATTACCACTTACTGTAGCTGAGACCCTTCTGCCTTAAAGTGTTACTAAACCCTGGACCCTGCAGTCACTATATCTGGTCTCCCCGGACCCCCCGGACCCTGCATTCACTATATCTGGTCTCCCCGGACCCTGCATTCACTATATCTGGTCTCCCCGGACCCTGCATTCACTATATCTGGTCTCCCCGGACCCCGCATTCACTATATCTGGTCTCCCCGGACCCTGCATTCACTATATCCGGTCTCCCCGGACCCTGCATTCACTATATCCGGTCTCCCCGGACCCTGCATTCACTATATCTGGTCTCCCCGGACCCTGCACCCACTATATCTGGTCTCCCCGGACCCTGCATTCACTATATCCGGTCTCCCCGGACCCTGCATTCACTATATCCGGTCTCCCCAGACCCTGCATTCACTATATCCGGTCTCCCCAGACCCTGCACTCACTATATCTGGTCTCCCACAGTAAACACAAACCGATTAAAGCTTGTAGGAGGATTTTTTTTCATTCTGCTCTGACTGTCCTATTAGGCTGAATGACCCCTGACCCTCTGTCTGGACAGTGCTGATTGGCCCTGTGCTGATCACATACACCCTCCCAATTAAAAAAAAAAAAAAAAAAAACTCTCTAGCAATACATACTAAACTGAGCATGTGCAGAGTGACTCCTAGAGCAGATGAATTGGGGACAGTAAAATAAGGGGAGGATCAGAGAAGACAGGATCAAACCACCTTTTTACACAATGTGGAGGATTAACCCCTTAGGTTCTACAATGGGTATAAGAAGCATGCTTTTTATCATATACAGACTGATTTTACTGTTGTGGGTTTAGTAATACTTTAATTCCATAGAGTTTACCAACAAAACCTCTTTACTGATCATGATTTTATCTCACGCATAGGTCACTTGTAGAGCTTTCTGTAATCTTTTAAGGAGAGAAATACAGGCACAGTCAGCGCTGCAAGCTCTGCCGCTGTCAAGTTTATCCTTTCTTCTTTACCTATCAAATTCCTGATTTATAACAAGTTTATAGCCATTGGAGCTTGCACAATTAAAAACTGTCAACAGTGGTAGCTGCCATATTTTTTTATTGAGGGAGACAGCAGGCCACTCTAGGCTACAAGCCCCTGCACCTATGAGGTGGAAACTATATACAAGTGTAAGCTCCTCCTTACTCTGTAGGCTATACCTGCACAGAAAGGAGTTCTATTTATTGTAGGCGGAGCATCCTAAAAGGTGGAACGTCTTTGCTGATTCTCTTCAGGAAAGGAGTTGTTTTATGGTTCTGTTCCCACCACAATTGCTGGTGGTGGGCCTCAATTCCCCTCCACCTCAACACTACTTCTCCTCAACATCTGCGACTGCCTTTTTAGAAAAGCTAATGCTTTGGGATGAACATCTGCTTGCAAGTTTGTTTGTCAAACAACAAAATGCATGTGTGACAGTTGACTTTGGACCTTTGGCACCTACCTGCTGTTACACGTTTCTGCAGCTCACGCAGCTTCTGTGCACACCTGACTCTCATTAACCACCTATAAAGGGAACTCAGAACTTTAACCTAGTGCCTGTGTCTCTCTGACTTGGATTTGTGAAATGTTTGGACTGCTTTTGTGATTAGCTTGTTTATGCTTATACTGACCATCAGCCGGTTAACTCTGCTATTGACAGTGTGTGCGCTCTGTCAGACCTGGTGACTGCTACTGCCTGCTATTGCTCTGCATCTGTCCTGCCTGTAGTCGGTTGTTGAATACAGAAGGTCTACTGATTTCCATGACTATTACAAAGTTTCAAGTTGTCTCTTCTATTTTTTTTTTTTTAAAGAGGTACTGATTGTATTTGCCCTTTGATCTGCTGGGCCCAGTCTATGTTTTCATTTAAAACAGTATTTCTAATGTAAAAATAATAATAAGCAAACTTAAATAAATAAACAAGATATAAATGTAAAGTCCCATACACCTAAAGTCCAAAAAGTCAAAAATCAAAAAGGATCCTTGCACGTGAATTCCCAATAGCTCTTTTCTTCCTGAATCAAATTAGCGGTGTGCTTCAGAAAATCTTCAAATACCTCAAAGAAAAAAATCTCAACATAGTATATTACCCCAATTATTAAAATAAAGTGCCACACGTGTCACATGCAGATACACAGTGGTGATTGTAAAGAGTTACCGCTAAGGAGGGGGGTCTCTTCTTCTGGATTATTTCACTATATGGAAGCTGTTTTCATCAAATTTAAATGTAAGTTGCTACAATAAAATTTGCTTATCTTTTAATACACATACTGATCCCTGGTCTGTTTATGAGGTCTATGGGAAAAGGTTGGAGAAGATGTGAGAACAATGTTTGGAGGCATTCTCATCTATATTATGGACCCTATGCTGATTGTATTTATGTTGGGGTAATTATGCACTCATATTGTGTGCAGTGGAGTTACTAATTGAAGTATTAGAGTCCAGAGTTTTCACGTTTGCTGTGGCACTTCTGTGTATCTGCATGTGACACGTGTGGCACTTTATTTTAATAATTGGGGTAATATACTATGTTGAGATTTTTTCTTTTGAGGTATTTGAAGATTTTCTGAAGCACACCGCTAATTTGATTCAGGAAGAAAAGAGCTATTGGGAAATCACGTGCAAGGATCCTTTTTGATTTTTGACTTTTTGGACTTTACTTTGGACTTTAGGTGTATGGGACTTTACATTTATATCTTGCTTATTTATTTAAGTTCGCTTATTATTATTTTTATATTTTTGTACTTCAGGGGAAGGAATGCTAAGTAACTTATTGGGTTTTTGGTAGAGGATTTGAGTGCTAATTTTTGTATTTGAGTATTTCTAATGTGGTGTTGTGCCTTTATAATGCATTTTTTGTGTGTACATTTTATTGCTATACACTGTTTTGACAATTATTAGGCAAGTTGTATTTTTGAGGATTTGTTTAATTATTGAACAACTACAGTGCCATCAGTCAATCCAAAATGTTAATAGATCTTAAACCTGAATATTTAAGAAAGTAAAAGTGAGATTTTGGCTTTCTTCAGAGAATAAAAAAAGTGAGAATAATAAAAAAAAAAACTCAATTTACAAATAAACATTTCTTATATTAAAAAAAAGTGACCATTATAGCCACCCTTCTTTTAATAACAGGCATAAGCCTTCCATTCATGGAGTCTGTCAGTGTCTTGATCTGCAGATGATAAACTTTTTCTGCAGCAGCAACTACAGCCTCCCATACACTGCTCAGAGAGGTGTACTGGTTTCCTTCATCGTAAAGGGCCCACAAGTTCTCAATAGGGTTTAGGTCAGGTGAGGAAGGGGGACATGTCATTATTTTTTAATCTTTAATGGCTTTACTGGCTAGCCATGCAGTGGAGATGCATGCAGTGGAACATTGTCCTGCATAAATATTATGGTCTTCTTGAAAGATGCAGACTTTTTCCTGTACCAGTGCTTGAAGAAAGTGTCTTCTAAAAACTGGCAGTAGGTTTGGGAGTTGATTTTGAGTCCATCTTCATCCTGAAAAGGTCCAACTAGCTCATCGGTAATAATACCAGCCCATACAGGTACCTCACCTTCACCTTGCTGGCCTCTGAGTCGTAGTGAAGCTCTGTGCCTGTTACCAATCCAGCCATGAGCCCATCCATCTGGTCTGTCAAGAGTCACTCTCATCTCATCAGTCCATAAAACTTTTGAAAAATCTGTCTTCAGATATTTCTTAGCCCAGTCTTGACGTTTCAACTTATGTGTCTTCTTCAGTGGTTGTGGTTGGGTTTCAGCCTCCCTTTCCTTGGCCATGTCCCTGAGCTGTGAACATCTTGTACTTCTGGGCACTCCAGATAGGTTGCAGTTCTGCAATATGACAGCCCTGGAGGATAATGGGTTCCTAATAGCTTCACATTTGATACTTCTCAAATCTTTGGTAGTTCATTTGTGACAAGATGTTTGATGGTTCTGTGATCACACCATTTGGCAATTTCAAGAGTGCTGCAGCCCTCTGAAAGACTAATTTTTGACTTTTCAGAGTCACTTAAATCTCTTTTTTGGCCTATTTTTTCATGAGGAAAAGAAGCTTCCTAATAATTATGCACACCTTGATGTAGGGTTTTGAGCTCCTTAGGCCAAACCCCCCTTCATTACACAAATACACACATCACCTGATATGCTTAAATTAAATAAGCATTCACGTTTATAATGCCGGGAATTGGACAATATGCATTAAAATGCCGATTTGGTCAAAATACTCACTTGCCTAATAATTGTGCACACAGTGTAGATGCATTGAAAGTACACATGCTGCAAAATGCATTTACAAATGCTCAAAGTGCCTATACAATGACACATGACAGATGCTTCAAAATGCACATAAAAAATTCATTCCTAGATTTCCTCTCACTTTCTGTTCAGTGGAATCATTGTTAACATGAGAGGTTGTGATGGAAAATCTCTTCAGCAGGGACATAGACAAAAAGACATTTGTAGCAGAGTGGGGAAAGATTATAACTATTGACAATATTTTTATTACTGTCCATACCTTCCTGCCCTGGCAGCCACAGCCTCCCCCATTTGTTTGGGCAGTGAGGAAAAATCTGTGGGGTCACAGACAGGTATACAACCCAGACAGACATATTAGCTCTCACATTTTAAAGGTGATGTTTATTTGGTCTTCCCTTACCAGCCAGGAAATACTGCTTCAGCTTCTAATGCACAATGTGAGAAGCTCACAGTGTGCAATGAAATCGGTAAGTAATTTCAGTCCAGGAGAGGATCCGGTACAACTGTGCAAGAGTGAAGCGCAGGCTGGAGGTCAAATTTAAAGCCTTCTGACAAGAAGTTGTGCAATCACAAAGGCACAGAATAACCCGCGCACATAAGATGTCACTTTGGTATAGTTTCTGGCTTATCTAAATGTAATCGTTGTTTCCTGCAGATCCATGTGACTCTCAGCCGTGTAAGAATGGAGGGACCTGCATCCCAGAGGGGGCAGACAAGTATCACTGCATTTGTCCTGTTGGTTTTGGAGGAGATGCTGAGTGTGGTGAGGGTTTTTATTTATTTTTTTTATTCCTGTATAAAGTTGCATTTCTAATTGCTATTACATACATACATCTGCATGCAATTCAGTATACAACAATCACCCATAACATTATGACCACTGAGAAGTAAAGTGAATAACTCTGATTATCTCATTAGAGTGGTATCTGAATATCGGTGGACTAGATTGGGCAGCAGGTGAACATGTTGTCCCTGAAGCTGATGTGATGAAACCAGAAAAAAATGGGAAAGCGTAAGGATTCGAGTAACTTTGACAAGGGACAAATTGTAGTGCGTAGTTGATTGGGTCAGAGCAACTTCAAAACTGCAGCTCTTGTGGGATGTTCATGACCTGCAGTGGTCAGGACTGACCAAAAGTGATCCAAGGAAGGAAAATTGGTGAACTGGCCACGGGGTCATGTGTGGCCATGGCTCATTGATGCACATGAAGGCTGGCTTTTGTAATCCAATCCAATAGAAGGTGTCAGAACACGCAGTGTGGGAAACTTACTAAAACTGGTGCAGCTGTGCATGGGAGCCAATCAGCTTCTAGCTTCAGCTTGTTCAATTAAGCTTTGACAAAAAACTCCGAAGCTAATTGCTTTCTTTGCAGAGCTGCAACAGATTTTGCATTCCAGTTTTAGCAAGTCAACCCCCATGTATCATAGTTTATGAGGCTGCATAGCCAGTAAGGTTGCCCATTCTGACCCATATCCACAGCCAAAAGTGTCTAGAATGGCATTGTGAGCATCAGAATTGGACCATGGAGCAATGGAAGAAGGGAGCCTGGTCTGGTGAATCACAATCACACAGAGATGGCACCAGGATACAGTATTAAAAGAAGGCAAGCCGCCGGAGGCAATGATCTGCTAATGATGGCTTGGTGCCAGATACCACAGCACACCTTCAGAGGTCTAGTGCAGTCTATGCCTCGATGGGTCAGTGCTGTTTTGGTGGTAAAATAAGTACCTCTGCAATGTTAGGTGGGTGGTCATATTATTTCTGATCAGTGTAAATGTCTCTATAATATATCTGTCCTAAAAACAATCAGTTTTGGGAGGTAAATTAGCAAATGGGGCAAAAAAGAATGATTTGCATGGCTGTTCCCCCTATAGATCAGGAGTAATTCTCTTATTTTTGGGATATGTAATCGAATGAGATGTGAATGCTTTCTGTTCCAAGAAGGCTCTGCTGTCCTACACATGAAAAAAGATTAAATATTCTTTTCAATCTTTTGTTAAATAGCCCCATGTGTTATTTTTTTTCCCTCTAATATTAGTTCCGTCTTTGTTTCAGCTCCAAAGTTAAGTCTGGAGTGTAATATCGATCTCCTGTTCCTGCTGGACAGCTCTTCCTCTTCATCACTGGAGTCCTTCATGCGTCACAAGTCCTTCCTCAAGCGCTTCATACAAGCCTCATTGTCGGATGAATCACCAGTCAATGTGGGAGTGGCCCAGTACAGCAACGACGTGCACATGGTGGTGAAGATCAATGAGTACGAGAACATCGCGCAGCTGCTGAAGTTTGTGGACTCCATGCAGTTTTTGGGTGGGGGGCTGTACACAGGAAAAGCCCTACGTTACATCACACAGCACGGATTCAAGAGCACGCCAGCCTTTTCCGATATCCGAGACGACCTGCCTCGCGTCGTGGTGCTGCTCACTGGATCCACGTCGCAAGATGCCGTGGCAGAGCCAGCCTTGCATGCCAGGAACCATGAGGTTTTCCTTATTGGTGTCTCCAGCGAGACAAGTAAAGAAGAGATGGCTGAAATTGTGGCAAATCCACACAATCTGATAACATACGATAGCCCTCAGAAACTCTTCAACCAGCTACCTCAACTGCAGAAGAGGATTTGCAGCATCGACTCCCAAGGTCAGAAAACAGAATTAGGGATATTATATAATTGGCTCAACGTTTAATAAGTTGAGCTCTCACAACTGTTCACCCCTTATGGACCACAGCAGTTTTGACATTTTTGTCTTTTTATTTTTTTATAACTTTTTCTTTAGTTAAACCAGATCTAAAAGCAAATTAGATGGATTAGAAGACTTGTCAGGTTTTTATTGCTCTCTGTGCCAGTTACAGACATACACTCTCTCTATTTGTCCTGTTTACTGTTATCACTGAAAGTAAAAGCGAAACAAAATCTCAAATTTTGGGTTGTCACTAGCACAGGAATAGAGGGGAAATCTTTCAGTGAGGTCACTAGTTCTGGTAACAACCAAATATTTCCCTCATCTTAAAGAGATTTCCTCTCACTTCTGTTTTGGGACAAGAAGTGAAGGGAAGTCTCCTCAATGAGACATGAATTGCCAAAAAAGATGGGCTACAACCCTCACTTGCGCACGCTATCCAAAATGAAAACGTTCTACTTTAAGATATCAAAGCAAGTAGCAAAGTATGTGAATATACAGTAAGTGCAGCTGAAATTAGTATTCTACAGGCCAGACCTACCACAATGAAGCCTTAAAAACAGACAGGGCCAGGAATCACATTGAAACTGTAGTTTGTTTACGTTTCTGTATATGTAACTATAAAAGTTCTCTGCACATCGGTTAATAAACACTTGGTCATAGTTGTACGACTAATGAAAGTTAAACTTGTTATTTTTATTATATAATAATTGAGTTTAACCGCTTCCCGACCATCCTATAGCAGAAATACTGCTACAGGGTGGCATGGGTGTGCAAGATCACATGATTTTTGCATTTTACGGGTAGGGGGTGCGTGTGCCCTTCCCACGCCACCATTCGCGGACGTGGCTGTCAATCACTGGGCCCCAGCCGGTGATTACTCACTGGGGCCCGGGGATTTCTGAGAATCTCTCTGACGGGGAGGAGAACTGTTTCGTTTACTAACAGTTCTTCCTGTCAGCTCGGGCACACTGCTTTGGATGGCTGTGCTATGCACAGCCATCCAAAGCAGTGTGATTACAGTGAAGCACACTGACACCGCCCCATAGTAAAACACACCCAGCACACAGTTAACCCTTTGATCATCCCTCATGTTAACCCCTTCCTGCCCAGTGCCATTAGTACAGTGACAGTCCTTTTTTTTTTTTTTTTTTTTTAGCACTGATCACTGTATTGGTGTCACTGGGGATGTGAGTGACACCAAGTCAGTTCCCCCCAGTGTCAGAATGTCCGCCGCAGTCCCGCTATAAGTCGCTGATCGCCCCCATTACTAGTAAAAAATAAATGCCATTTGTAACCAATTAAGTTACACGTATTGGGATTTTTTTTAGCAAAGACATGTAGCAGAATACATTTTGATGTAAATTTATGACGAAATTTGATTTTTTTTACATTTTTTTTTACTGGACATGTTTAATAGCAAAAAGTCTAAAATATTGTTTTTCCTGAAAATTGTCGGACTTTTTTTTCATAGCGCAAAAAATGGAAAATGCACATGCGATCAAATACCACCGAAAGACAGCTCACTATGTGGTTAAAAAAAGTCGTAAATTTAATTTGGGTGCAGCGTTGCATGACCGCACAATTGTCAGTTAAAGTAGGCAAAAAATGCCCTAGTCAGGAAGGGGGGTAAGTCCTCAGGAGGGCAAGTGGTTAACTTGCTATTAGCAGCACAACTATGAGTGCAAAAAAATTCAAAACTAAAGCTGGCCATACACTAGTAGATTTTCAAACAAACATTTGTATGAATATCCATACAAAAGCTCTTACCAACATTTTTTATGACCACGAGTATTGTTTGAAAGTACTTAAAAAATTTGCTTTTAACATTCAGTTTTGGAACGAATGGACTTTCTCTAACGATAACCACGTACACTGTTAGAAATTAGTTCGAGAACAATTTTCCATCCTGTTCCTTTGAATTTTCAGTCGCTGTGGTGAAAAGCTAATCATTTTGACCCCACGAACGATTAGAAAATCATTGAACTTTCCTAAAATGAAACATTTTCCAACAAAATTCTACCAGTCAGTGCAGGGATACGGAATTAAAATTCACGGAGGTCCGATGAGTAAAATTTTCTTTCAGCCGAGGTCACATCACAGCCCCCTTCCTCTTAAATCACAATCCCATTTTTACATCAGATCCTCTGTCCCCCCCCAGTATATCTCAAACACACCTTCATCTCACCACCCCTCAATTCACAACCGTGTCCTCAGCCCAACTTGTCACACTTCCCCCCCTATCCCCACAGCAGTGTCCCCTGTCCCCCCTTAATATTACATACCCCCCCCCACAGCAGTGTACTCTGTCCCCCCTTAATATTACCCCCCCACAGCAGTGTACTCTGTCCCCCCTTAATATTACCCCCCCCCCACAGCAGTTCCCTCTGTTTCCCCTTCACATTACCCCCACACAGCGGTGTGTCCTCTGTCCCCCCTTCCTATTACCCCCCCCCCCCCCCCCCACAGCAGTGTCATCTGTTTCCCCTTCATATTACCCCCCCCCACAGTGGTGTCCTCTGTCCCCCCTTTCACATTACACCCCCCCACAATGGTATCCTATGTCCCCCCACTTCACACTTGGGGGGAAAAGTCAGCTCCTAAATGGCTGAACTGTGGTATTCCATATTGGCCAGCAACTTGGTCTGGATCCGGACTGCAGTCCGCCATTTATAATATCCATACTAATGTATAGGCAGCTTGAGACTACTGGTCACTGGCATGCCGGAAAGGGGAAGTGGCAGAAGAACCGGGCCTACTACATGTGCCCTGTGTACTGTGATTTAAGTTTTTTGACGTGTTTGTAGCCTACCCAAAGTCTACAACTGGTTAAGGACATTTGGCATGCTATTTTTTTTTTTAGAGGCTGACAAATGAAACAAAATATGAAAAAATGGCATTTTTGTTAAATTTATTGTATGCTTTTTTTTCAAATTTTTACATGTTTTTTACACACTTAAGCTTTCTGACTTTTCCCCTTTACACATAGAGATAGGCACATTGCTCTCTGCAGGCTGGAGAACTTTGAAACACATCTCCAATGATTATCCTGACTGGCTTTTATCGTCATCACGTGATCAGAAACTACATTGGTTTCTAATGGTTAGCGCAGTCATGAGAGTGCAGTGCAGGCGTGCCCTTGTGTGTATTCATACTACACTCGGATTTAGCCAAAAGGCCAAGAAGTGATACCTCTGTGCACTCACCGTACACAACTGCAATATAGAGTAGACATGGGGAACTGCTCCTTTAGTCTTCAGACTGCAGTTGCTCTGATTGTTGATTTTGGTGATGGGATTTCCTATTGATATGCTCTAAAATGGATATCTTGGAGTCTTATGCTGGTCCTACACCTGCCAGAAGCTGTCTATCAGCTTTTGATTGAAATCTGCCACCCAATGGGGTTGATGTACTTAAACTGGAGAGTGCAAAATCTGGTGCAGCTCTGCATAGAAACCAATCAGCTTCCAAGTTTAGCTTGTTCCATTAAGCCAGGGCTTGACAAATCCCTGGTGCCTTGGTTCACACACTGCCTCCTACTGACTTCAATGCAAAAATGCCTCCCATTGACTTCAATGCAAAAACGCTTTGCTCCAGCGCTGACGACCCACGCTACACTAAAAAAAAACAAACAAAAAAAAACTAGCTCCTAAATTTTTTTCAGCTGGCTCCTAGATTCAAAGCAAATTTGTAAAGCCCTGCATTAAGTTTTGACAAAGAAAAAACTGGTTGGTTTCTATGCAGAGCTGCACCAGATTTTGCACTTTCCAGGTTTAGTAAATCAACCCCATTGTGTTGAGCAGTTCTCAGTTTAAATTAAGCAAAACAAATTTTCTTTGTATTGGTGCATTAGTCGATGTCTATCACGTTTATGATTGTTTTGGATCTTACAACTAGGAAAAGCGTAAACTAGAAAGTGGCTTTGTTGCCACCTAAAAAATACTGTCAGTGAGCCTCCAGATTTAGATTGATAGCTCCATACAATACAGTAGAGCAGGGGTCAGCAACCTTTTCCACATTTGTGTCATGTTCAACATTTGGCATTCCAGTGAATTGTAGTATCAAGCTGCCCATACACTAGTAGAATTTTGTTTAAAATTTGTAATTTTCTTTGGACCTCCGATCAGCCCCAATGCAGGCTCTTTGGACCTCCTATCAGCCCCAATGCAGGCTCTTTGGACCTCCGATCAGCCCCAGCGCAGGCTCTTTGGACCTCAGTTCAGCCCCAGCGCAGGCTCTTTGGACCTCAGTTCAGCCCCAGCGCAGGCTCTTTGGACCTCAGTTCAGCCCCAGCGCAGGCTCTTTGGACCTCAGTTCAGCCCCAGCGCAGGCTCTTTGGACCTCAGTTCAGCCCCAGCGCAGGCTCTTTGGACCTCAGTTCAGCCCCAGCGCAGGCTCTTTGGACCTCAGTTCAGCCCCAGCGCAGGCTCTTTGGACCTCAGTTCAGCCCCAGCGCAGGCTCTTTGGACCTCAGTTCAGCCCCAGCGCAGGCTCTTTGGACCTCAGTTCAGCCCCAGGGCAGGCTCTTTGGACCTCGGATCAGCCCCAGCGCAGGCTCTTTGGACCTCAGTTCAGCCCCATTCAATACACTTTAGTCCTCAGCTTAGCCCCAATCTATATACTTTAGACCTGAGATCATCCCAAATGCATGTTCTTCAGACCTCAATCCATAATCTTTAGACCTCAGCTCAGCCCCAGTTCATACACTTCAGATTAGCCCCAGTCCATACACTTCAGACCTCACATCAGCCCCTGTCCATACACTTCTGGCATCAGGTCCACTCCAATGCATGAATTTCAGACCTCAGATCAGCCCCAATGAACAAACTTCATGGTCCTTCACTGATGTCAGGGAGGTGAGTGGGCCTTGTAACTGGCAGCTTGGGGGGCTGTTGATTACGGCCAATGCCATTGCATGCCAGCCCAGGCATGCATACTGAGGGTTTCCATCCCCTACAGTGCTGACCCTCCCTTCCCCCAATCAAGCTCTTCAGGGGATTAATAGAAAGCCAGTATTAAGGCGGATTGCTGTACTAATTAAAACACGTGTAAAGTTTACTTAAGAGGTACATAACTGAATCCAGTGTGAATATTTTATTGTCTACCTAGAATATTAGTCTTTGAATTGATTTGTTGTAGCAAGGTTTTGCAAAATAAAACTTCATCCAAACTTTTTAGCCTGCGGTACTGAATCCACACACAGATATTCCTAGCCAACTAGTAACGCTTTGCTGTCTCTTTCAGGTTGCCCGGCACAACCTCTGGACTTGGTCTTCATGTTGGATGCCTCCTCTGGTATAGGACAAGACAATTTTAACCGTCTGCTGAACTTTGTAACAATGGTTTCCCTCCAGTTTGACATAAACCGGGATATCACCCAGGTGGGACTTGTCACATATAGTAACCAGCCTGAGACCATCTTTAGTCTGGACGCCCATGAAACCGTATCAGGCCTCATCAGTGCCATCAACCGGGCCCCTTACCGGGGAGGTTCACCTTTCACTGGAAACGCTCTCCTACACATCCACAATGATGTCATGTCCATCCAGAAGGGTGCTCGGCCTGGGGTGAAGAAAGCCGTGATCGTGCTGAGTGATGGGCGTGGAGCAGAAGATGCAGCGGTTCCTGCACAGAAGTTACGGGATGATGGGATTTCTGTCTTTGTCATTGGAATAGGGAGGATTCAAAGGAATGCCCTGCTGAGAATAGCAGGATCAGACAGATTCCTCACTCACATACCGAGCTACAGTGTGCTCAGCCAGTATGAGGATGACATCGTACAGCGTGTTTGTGAAGGTGAAGTGCTTATTATAGTGCCTAATATGTATCTCCAGACAAAGCTTATATAGTAAAGAATGGATAGAGCCCTTGTAAGGTTTATTATCCTTCACTTCATGTCCTTTTGGATTTCCTATCATTTTCTGTCCCAGTGACAGTGTTCAGTAGGATGGAAAAAAAAAGTGTATCCAGTGATCTGTTATAACTTGTTTTCTACATGCTGTTTCCATGCAAAAACCAGCACAGATGGTGATAAGGCAACCAGCATTCAGTTATCAGATGTACAAAGAAAATTGCACTGGTTAATTGGGAAACTACATAGCACACATACATGAATAAACATTTTTGTATCTTTTTTTTTTTTTTCTTTTTATACTAAATTTACAAAATCTTTTATTTATTAAGAAACATATTGCAAGGTACTACTATGACACAGGAGGCTGTACAGATATGTTTGCTCACTATGACCTTTCTAAATTTCAGAGGCAAAATCCAAAGTGAGTCCATGTAAACCCAATCCATGTATGAATGGGGGAGTCTGCATCCTGCGACACAACAGCTACTACTGCGAGTGCAGTGGATGGGATGGACCGCACTGTGAGAACCGTAAGTATAACGTCTGGTGCAGTTCAGATTATTGAAGAGATTAAAGTGGTTCTTTGCCTTGTTTGAAAAAAGTTTGAAAAAACAAATTATGTAACTGCTGACTTTTACTAAATGGCACTTACCTGCCCAGGGATCCAGTGCTGCTGGCATGTTTACTGTGGGCAAGCTGTGATTCCTTGTGGTTTCACAGCCAGCTTTCCACTGCGCATGCATGATCCTTGCTGCACTTTGTAACTGGTTCCCCAGCCTTCTGGGTCCTGTAACATGTCCCAGAAGGTTGTGAGCAGGGGAGGGGGGGGACATCTAGTGGATCCGCCACATTGATCCAAACAGAAGTCGGGACTGGGTACCTGTCAAAGCTAGGTACCTGCTCCACCCCACCCCCCAAAAAAAGTGCTAAAATAGAAGAAGAGGGGACAGAGAGTAGAAATTAAACTTCCCCTTTAGGATGAAGTTACACTTTAACTAAAAAACCACAGGGTCTAAGCAGGAGCATACCTCACACTAAAACTTCACACCTTCAAGGGGTTTAACAAACTTAATCAATCTTTAACCTGCTTCAGCCTGGTAGACAAGAAGATAGGTTAAAGTGGTTCTAAAGGTAGAAGGATTTTACCTTCATGCACCTTCATTTGAGCCCCATTGCGATGTTCACGAGAGCCTCGGCTCTTCAGGAACTTTCCCTCCACATTGGCTGAGACAGTAACAGAAGCCCTTGGCTGCTGCTTTTGTCAATCGCAGCCAATGAGGAGAAGGGGAGAGAGGTGTGAATGGACACATTTTATTCTTTAGTTTCTTGTTAATTTGTCTTTAATATTACTTTAAAGCTGAACTCCAAGCAAGTTTAAAAGACCGTGCAAGTACCTGAACTCTACAGGGCTGTGCTGTGTAGCAGAGCTACGTATAACCTAGAACTCCTAGAAAGAGAAATCCTTTGGTAGATAAAACCGCTCACATGTATGTATTTCATCTATGTGTTTAGCTTTCAGTTTTAAAGTGTAGGTTCACTTTCCCAAAAAATTAAAAGGTGAAATAACACCCTAAACAATCCCTTTCTTCTCCCCCATCCCTGCTGTACTTCTGTGGGTGATCAGCTGTCACTGCCCATACAGGCAGTGCAGCGGTCAGGGAATTTTAAAAGCCCTGTTCTTCTGCCCCTTCTTCCTTTTAGGGCTTCTGAGACAAATTAAAGCAATTTTGATTGGTCAGGTGTGGGCACATGACCATGTAAACCAGTCAGATTGGATCTGTTCCAGAAGCTAAGAAAAGAGGAATAGTAGGCGTCCAAATCCCCAGAAGGCTGCACCAGCTGCGTGGGTAGTGACAGCTAATCACCCATGGAAGTAAGTGCAGCAGGGACCAGAGAGGGTGTAGGGTGTTCATTCTTTTGTGAAAAGGTGATCTTACACTTTAAGTGCACTTGCTGTAATTTTTCAGAATGAGTGTTGTAAGAGAAGGTTTGCCTATCAAGTAATCACATCATCAGTTCCTGGTCAAGACATTAGAAAACACATAACTAGAGTAAAGAGGGCAGTGATTAGAAGAATAGGAAAGGAAGGAAAGAAAGAAAGACAAAGTGAAGAAGTAAACCTATTATTTCTATTTTTGGGTTGGAAGTGAAAATGTTGAGTGCATGAAAAAAAATGGCAAAACATTTCTTTAGTGAACACTAGAATTTAGAACCGTAAGAGATCTAGGCACCTGATGTTACATACAAATCTTGACTTCTGTAAATGTTGAGCTTGGCCCTACCCCTTCCAAGCATCTGTTTCTTCAAAGCAAAACTTTAAATACAGTATGTTGCCAAAAGTATTGGGACGCCTGCCTTTACATGCACATGAACTTTAATGGCCCCCCAGTCTTAGTCCATAGGGTTCAATATTGAGTTGGCCCCGCCCTTTGCAGCTATAACAGCTTCAGCTCTTCTGGGAAGGCTGTCCACAAGGTTTAGGAGGGTGTCTATGGGGAGGTTTGACCATTCTTCCAGAAGTGCATTTGTGATGTCAGGCACTGATGTCAGACGAGAAGGCCTGGCTCGCAGTCTCCACTCAAATTCATCCCAAAGATGTTCTATTGGGTCAGGCCAGTAAAGTTCCTCCACCCCAAACTCGCTCATCCATGTCTTTATGGACCTTGCTTTGTGCACTGGTGTGCAGTCATGTTGGAACAGGAAGGGGCTATCCCCAAACTCTTCCCACAAAGTTGGGAACATGAAATTGTCCAAAATGTCTTGGTATGCTTAAGAGTTCCCTTCACTGGAACAAAGGGGCCAAGCCCAACCCCTGAAAAACAACCCCACACCATAATCTCCCTCCACCAAACTTTACATTTGACACAGTGCAGTCAGGCAAGTACCGTTCTCCTGGCAACCGCCAAACCCAGACAAGTCCATCGGATTGCCAGACAGAGAAGCGTGATTGGTCACTCCAGAGAACACGTCTCCACTGTTCTAGCATCTTTACACCACTGCATCCAACGGTTTGCATTGTACTTGGTGATGCAAGGCTTGGATGCAGATGCTCAGCCATGGAAACTCATTCCATGAAGCTCTCTATGCACTGTTGTCATGCTAATCTGAAGGTCACACCAAGTTTGGAGGTCTTTAGTTATTGACTTTACAGACAGTTGGCGACCTCTGCGCACTGTGCGCTTCAGCATGCACTGACCCCGCTCTGTCATTTTATGTGGCCTACCACTTGGTGGCTGAGTTGCTGTTGTTCCCAGTTGCTTCTACTTTGTTATAATACCACTAACAGTTGAGCGTGGAATATTTAGTAGCCAGGAAATGTCACGGATGGACTTATTGCACAGGTGGCAACCAATCACGGTACCACAGTGGAATTCCGAGCTCCTGAGAGCGACCCATTCTTTCAGAAATGTTTGTAGATGCAGTCTGTGATTTTATACACTTTTGGCCATGGAGGTGATTGGAACACCTGAATCCAATGATTTGGAGGGGTGTTCCAATATTTTTGGCAATATAGTGTATATTCCTCAATAGCCACAAAGGATATAAATCCACTTTGTGTGCACTAAATGCCTTTGAAAACCACGATATTATTTTGATGACCAGTGACATTATCACTGTGCAGCACCTAGCCTGTGCAGAGAGTAAAGCTATGGGAGGGACCAGCAGCCCCCCCCCCCCCCCCCCACACAGTGCCTGCAGAAAACTGCAAGAGGGGGTGGAGACCAGACCAATCACCCTGCACAAGGACAGAGAGCAGCAGTGATCGGTCTTACTTTCAATAAAAGTCTCACATTGGAGTACTGCACAGATCTGGAGATTAAATGAGGAATACACATGATAGATGTATTTAGGCAATATTTGCTTACTTTCACTTTAACTTATTGGACGGTCTCAGTGACCAATAGGTAGGATCGGTTATAGGCAGGGAAAAGTTCAACTGACCTTACAAGGTAGGCAAGAACTCTAAATAGCATCATAAAAAGTATAAGATAATATGTAGTATAATGCAAACATTTTGAGATGTTCTTGTAACAGAAGAAAATGAATATTAATTATTTTTCTATTTATTTTTTAGAAATAGTTAGAGGGGACAGTGCCTGGGCCACTACCGCTAATCAAGATTCGGCATCAAAGGCACTCCTCCGCGTCACATCGCAGATTCAAGCCCCTGTCCAGCAGGAAGTCTTCTGGGAGTGCACATTAACTGAACTGGTTGAAGAGGCCAGAGACCATCTGAAGTGTCTGGTTTGGGATACTCAACAGCCAGAACTAGGTTTTCAATTTTAGAACAGCCCTTGAGGTATTTTGTGTGCTCTGAGTGGGCAGAGTCAGGGATGTTGTAATGCTGTCGGTGGACTATAAAGGGTAGAAAAACTGACTCTTACTTTTTACCTCTGTCTGCTAAATTTCCTACACTAAAAAGAACCAGTCTTCTGAATGTATGAAAGAATCAGAAATATGTTTTGTTGAAATAAAAAAAAGAGGGCCAACTTTTATCATGCAATCATGTGCAAAAAAAAAAAAATTTTTTTTCTGCTTTTATTTTTTTATTTCCCTTGCACCTGATTGGGTAATCAAAGTGAACACAGCTTGACTTTCTATACTAAGTTGCGTCATCATTCACTTTATTAAGTGATCAACCTTTACTCATTTAGTAAATCAACCCCACTGTCGTCTAGTTTCTGAGACAGAATAAAAGTGTTGAATAAGAGCCCATAGACAGAATGTGTGTACTCAAGCAGTTGACATGACCAAGTTTATACTTTAGTTGATCACTGACCTTCAGGCTGAAGCACAAATGTATGTAATGCATAAACATATGTTCTCCTAAAGTAAGCCAGCACAACAATTACTGTATAATCATTTAAGACTGAATTTGTACCCTCATGCATAATCTGAGCTACATTAATCTCTTTAATGGACTTCTAAATGCAGACTGCTGTTTGGTTCATGTAAAGATATTGTGATAACAAAAGTAATTTCTTTCTTGTCCATTGAGGGATACAGGAATTCAGAAATGGGTTTGGTTATACTGCTGCCTACAGGAGGTTGGGAAAAACTGATAAAGAGATAAAAATGTAAGCATAAGCCAGCCCCCTTATAACCCCTACTTTACCCATCATACCTCTATTTTTTTGTTTTTTTTGTTTGTTTTTTTTTTACAAAGGTCCTAGGAGGCTTGATGTATTTTTTTCAGCTTTGCTGAACAAAAAGCCCAAGTATGTTTTGTTAGTTTTCTTCACTTGTGATATATCTTCTCAATGACTTCAATCAAGATTCCTTATTACGCCGCTGCTTCAGCTGGTGTATTGCAGCTATCCGGGTCAGTGTTTCCTGAGCACTAGCTTTCGAGGCTGTATCTGGACCCTGCTGAACTAAAAAGTAAAGCACTAACCTGGAATGTGACCATTTAGGTCTGGACTCTACATTGTGATACTTTCCAGACGTTTTGTCTACTGTATTTGTTAGCCTGAAAGTGCTTTCCACGTCCAGAGCTATACGATGTGTGACCCCCATCTCTGAAGACTCAGTGAGTAAGGCAGGTTTTGTTGAAGCATCGGTAGCTACCTCACTGTTTGCACTGTTAGGTGCACTTTCAAAAGTTTATCCATTTTTATGGAGAGTTGACATCATCCATTGGGTGGAGTGCTGCACGCATTCTTTCTCCCACCAATCAGCCTGGAGGAAGCGTCAACCTGCTGCTGTTCCTGAAGTACCATATCTCCATCTTTGGTCTCAAATCAATTTTTACTGTCTGGCTACAGTAGCTTGGATGCCCCTTGATGCCTAAAACCCTCATGAGCACCAGGTTCGTGGGTATATGTCGCCTTGCCTCACATTGGGCCTAGTTGTATTACTGCTTTGTCAATGCAACATGTTTTTGTTAAAATGCACAGAGGACACTCCTGCTGCCACAGGTGACCTCAGCCTATATGCCCCTAGTTGTTCTAGGGGAGTTAATACAGAAGGCACCCACACCTGTAATCCAGAACCAGGGTTCCCTGTTATAGGGTCGTCATCATCATCATCAAAGTCTTCCTCAGCTCCATCCAGTGTGGCCGAAGCCTTCCTCTTGTCTGCATGGACCTCCATGTTCACTCTGGACTTCACAGCTGCTTTTGCACAGATACTGAGGCACTGTATGCACAGGCTCTAAGGATACTGTGGCAGCATACCTTACAGAGTCTGTGTCAGACCCTCCTGAGCCTAAAATCAAACTTGTAGCCCCACCGGAGAATGTATTATACCTTTTTCCCCTTTGAGTAGCAGTTTTCAAATTGGTGGTCTGTTCCCACTATGATGACCCCAAAGTGATTGAAGGTGTGATCACGTATAGGGATTTTACTGACAATCGCTCCCTAAATCCTGCTTTGAATTGGCTCTCCATCCTGTGTTGACGGCAACTTTAATGTGCCCAAACCGTGTCAGAATGGGTAGATTCCCTCAAATAGGAGCTTTCCACTGCTGGGTAGGTCCCTGTTTCATAGAACGGATGGTGCAAATGTCTTTAGCCTTGTGCCCTAGATGTGATGGCTTGTTACAAGCATGTAAAGTTTGGAACTGATGTCCATTCAAATGAGCAGAGCACTCTGGCTGTGCTTTTGGATGCTGATGATATCCAAGGGGCATTTGACTCTGTTAAGCTTTGTGGCACGTTATCCTTTAGGACCTGCTCTTGATACCATCATTAGCAATGCCACAGGAGGCCAGAGTGTACCCCTTGCACAATGCAAGAGGTATGTAGAGGAATGAGAGGAATCCAATCCTTCTATTTTCATTTACTTCAGCAGTATGTACTCATAGGCATTTAGAGCCCACAATCCACTCAAGCCATAGAGCTCAGAACCAGAGGTCAGCTAACTGCTCAGGTCCCTCCCTTTATCTCACAGGCTAAACCCTTCTGTCTGGTATCTCTTTCAGCTGCCCCTCACTGTTCTTCCTGTGTTTCTGTACACAGCAGTGTATCCCAGGTCTTCCAGGGTTTTCTTCACCCTGGGACCCCTTCAAGGGTGGTACCACACATCAAATACACTGCTCTCTTTAGAAGAGTTTTATATTTACAGATACCTCATGGTACTTGGTACCTTTCAGCATACTCCATCTCCAAATGGACCCCTTTACTTACAAGGTCAGCCAGGACCAGGTACTTCTGCTCCTTCCCTAGGTAGGCCCTGTCCCCTCAGTGGCACTTGCAATTTCTTGAAGCATTGGACCCTATATGCCCTCCAGCACCTTTTCCTTGCATTCATACTGCAACCTTCCCTGAAGAGGATTCGTTTTTTCGACTGTTGTGGTCCAACACCTGTAAGCTTCAACTGGATATAGCTTCACTGGTGCCTGACCTTGGCAGCTGTTCGTAACAAATGGGCGAGGCTGTTCAGCTCACACCCTCAAAAAAGAAATCAACGCTGTGTGGGTCATTTGTCTCTTGTCTGTCAGGGAAAATCCCCCTTCTTTCCTTTCTGGTCTGTAAGTTGTTGAGGGAATATCCATCTTTTGTTGACTATGTCTGTTTCAGGGGACCTAAAGGGGGAAGTGAGACATCCAGATGGTCTCTATGGACCAACCACTATGTATTATGGAGACATCCAGATGGTCTCTACGGCACATCCCATCAGTATTTTAGGGTGCATGTAGTGGTTCGCATGTAGTGTCATTTTCGCAACAAAGTCTGTTCCTTTTCTTCGTCTTTATGTCCAGCATCCTCGAAAAGGATTGCTCGCAAAGATATGTTGTAACAAACGGTATGAAAATTCATCCCCCATAGTAATTCATCCCCCATATATCCCCCATAGTAATTCATCCCCCATATAGTAATTCATCCCCCCCCCATAGAGTATAGTAATTCATCCCCCCTATAGTAATTCATCCCCCTATAGTAATTCATCCCCCTATAGTAATTCATCCCCCATATAGTAATTCATCCCCCCTATAGTAATTCATCCCCCATATAGTAATTTCATCCCCCATATTAATTCATCCCTCATATAGTAGTAGTAAGTAAGTAGCAAGTAGTAAGCCAAGTCCCCCTGTGTCAATTCACTTACCTTTGCTCCGCACGTTCCTCTCGCCATATTCCTGCGCCGTTCCGGTCTTCAGGGCGGACTGTGAGAGGAGCCTAGCTCCTTTCACGTTTGTCACGCTGCCCCGCCTACACACATCCTGACAGCCAATCACTGGCTATCAGGATGTGAGTGGCAGCGAGACTGGCCAATCATTGCATTTGAGCACGCTGCCCTGGCTGTTTTTTTTTTTTGGATCACGCTGCAGTGTCCCTGCCGCCCGAGAGGAGGGAGGGGAGCGGGCGCCCGGCACACAAGAGCCGCATTAAAGCGTGTAAAGAGCCGCATGTGGCTCGCGAGCCGCGGCTTGCCGACCACTGGGCTAAGCGATGTTGTGTGACCACCTGCAGCCAATGATGGACAATCGGGGCATGTCATCATGAATCATATGAGTCGGGTGTGGGTCTTCACCTCCGCCGAACCCGCGAGACTGACTCACCGAACCCCTGGGGTTCGATCGAACCCAGGTTAAGAACCACTGCCTTAGGTATTGCAGTACCTTAAATCTGGGAAGATTTGTCAATTCTCAGTGTGACAGGTCAAGTGGCCTGATCCCCCTACACTTGACTTCAGTGTCTTCCTTAGAGACAATGAATTGCTATCTGGCTTTCCTCAACTAATGGACACTCAAGGATGAGGTTTCTGCAACTTGGTGCTTTTCATTTCTTGCATAGTGGGAATTATTCACGCTGGATTGATTCCTAGATTGCAGCAAGATCCCAGCATGTTCTGTCTGCTGGCAGCTACTCACTGTAGGGGACAGAGTACGTCTAGATGACATAATAGGACCTGAGCATAGGGAAATAGGTCCTCCTGAGGCTTATCCACAGTCTCTTGAGGAAGTTGCTTTAGATTCCTGCCTCATTTATGTTCCTAATCAGGTGAATCATCTTAGCATTGTGACTGCTTTTTGCTCCAAGGCTGAGGATGCTTTGCTAGTTCGGAGTGGGTTAGTGGCTTCTTTGAACCAATATTTTTTTTTTTTTTTTTTTTAGTTAAGATTAGGCAGGATTTGCAGAGTTCTCTGCTGGATCCCAGAGTGGATAGGTTCCTGTTCATACCTTTACAACTCTGGTGTTCACATGCATCAGTCTGAGGTTACAGTATACCTTTATTCCTGCTTACTGTTGTATGGATGCTGATCAATTACACTACCCCTTCTTCAGTCAGACTGATTTCATGGTAGGTACACTTGGGACTTTAACTATCCCCTTCATATATTCT